CCTCCTCCTCGCCCACTGCTCCAACGACGGCCGCTCAGGCGACTGTCCCGCGCGCAACAACCGACACTACCACCACCACCCCCGACTCCAGCGATGAGGATCAGGACTACACCTGCCCTCACTGCGACCGCACCTCCACCTCACACATCGGCCTGGTCGGTCACTTGCGAATCCATCGCACAGAGACTGGCGAACCAGTGCCTGAAGCACCAACCTACACCCACCGCACTCGCCTCCACTGCCCACACTGCCTTCGCACTTTCAGGCATCGCATGGGCCTATTCGGCCACATGCGCATCCACGACGACCTGCGGTAGACAACCGCCGGTCACACCACACATTCACTCACTCCCTACCCCCTCCTCCTCCACCACCACCACCATCACCCCACCACACATCAACACTCACACACCTCATGCACCCAACTGCCACCTCCCACGCAAGTGGGAAGTGTGCATCTCGACTCGGTCCTCATGCGGCTTCGGCTGCACGGATGACTTGAGTCCGAGACTATCCCGACACGTCAAGTGTCGAGGATAGGAAGGTTGCTGTTCGACGCCCACTCTCGGCTCACGCAGTTCGTCACGTTGTGTGTTGTGTGTAGTGGCGGACTGGTGGGCTGGGGACAGGCTGAAACAGCACCTTCCATGACACTCTCACGCAAGTGAGAGACATGCCGTTCAACCCCCGTTTTGTGAAATCCTGGTGTTGTGTGTATGGGGGGCCAGGTCGTACCGTGGCGCGCGCATTCATGGTCAGTCGACCATGACAACCAAGGCGCCCATTCCCCACTCCAGTCTGCTGACCGGCTCGGACAGTGGCTGGGGTGTGGGAGTGGGAAGGGAGAGTGAGGTCGACGACTCAGCGCATTTTCCTCACTATAAACAATCTGACGCGCTTGAAGCTATCACGGTGCGCTAAAAGCCGTGACTTGGAAGGTTGCCAACTGACGGGGTAACTTGGACCTCCTCCTTGACTGGAGGCGGTCTGAGAGTCAGGCTGCAATGGCTCCTTTTTAATGTGGCCTTTATGGCACTCCCACCACAGTGTGGGATCTGAGCCAGGCGTTGGCGGCACGCCCAGGTGCGGCTTCGGCCGTGCCGGCCCCAAATCTCTGTTGTGTTGGTTGAAATCCTGGTCATTTGTTGTGTGAACCAGGGAGTGTGGTGGAACGCCAAGGTGAGGATCCGTCCGAGCCATCCACCTGCGGCCTCCCTCGTCTCCGGTCTTCTTGACTCAGTCTTGACACCGGGCTCGGGCGAGGGAGGAGAAGAGAGTGTAGGAAGATGCTACGCAAGTCTACCGGCACTATAAACCCCTGCGTAAGTCACCGTCCCTGCTCCCATTGCTGCTGCAACTGTGGGGCACACGGTGGACATCATCGAAACCGATGGTCGAACTGTCAGGAGGTCGGGACGCGCGTCACTTGCGGGTGGCATGACGTCTAAGCCGTACTGGCGACATACAGTGTACTTTCTAAAGAATTCATTTGAATTTGTAGGGGCACCGAAAATCAACAAGAAGAGTTCATACAACCTGAATAGTTATTTTTATACTGAGCTGGGTTTCCGAAGGCGGCAGTAAAGAAGCTTTTTCAAAAGCCGGCATCCTGTCGTGAGAGAAGTTTCTCGGATTTATGGTGCACGATAATCAGTACTACAGTTTTTTAACTGCCTCAGACATTAGTCGCTAACTTGGAATAAGTCACACTTATGGGCTGGATATTACAATCCCACTTAAACAATTATGTCCAATCGAAAAAACTTTTCGGAATTTCGGTTAACATTTCATGAAATGGACTATCTACTGTAAAATACTTGTCATATGCTATCGACAGTCGTCTCCTTTTATTGCTGAAATATGACTCATAGTGTCACCAACGATCCGGGTAGATTTTTTTTCAAAGTTGTTAATTTGACTGGAGAATCTTCTCCGCAACAAATGCGCTGAGTTTCCACTCCACCTTTTCGCAATCCATATTCTGACTTAAATTTAAAGCCACGTATGGTGCTGAGAGATGATAATACCCACTAAAGGTCTCCGTCGCAGACGCAGGACTTGACACTACAGTAAATTCTGAACATTCCCGACATGGCCTGAGGACTGCTTCAAAGTAGATCCGCCTATTTCGGAAGCGGTTTGAGCATTTGCACGAAAACGCTTGCACATTACCCAGGCAAATATTGCCCAGCTTCATCTCAGTTGCTGTTAACTATAACTGTTCCGTGAAATGGGAGTCCTGGAAAGTGAAATGTCAAGTAAGTCGGCTTATGCGCTCGCGTTTTGTCTACCAGTCAGGACACGCTTCCAAAGGTTGAAATTTTCCACGCTCTAACAGCGATGTTTCTTCAGTGGTCTCGTGCATGTATTGAGAGTGGTTTGAAAGGGAGACAGTTTTGAATTTCATCCCCTTCTTTGGGTTCTGCCACATACCCATTCTCCAAAACATCCAAACAAGTGTTACAGACGTCGTGCGAACATGAGTGCCATACAGACATCACTTATACCAAGCCTTGCTAATCCATGAAATAAGTTACTCCATGAGGTAGCCAGTACCCTCTCATAATCGGAATGTTGGCCATCGCGAACGATGCTGTCCACGGTGTACCTCACAACATGCTGGGCGCAGGGAGTGGGAGTTGCGCTCGAAGTAGGTTACAGTAGTGGAAGATTTGCTCAGCATCAACCGCACACCCTGCCCTCTCACCCACCTAGGCGCGGTGTCAAGACGGGCTCAGGAAGGCCAGAGGTGCCCGACAGCGTGTCTACGCTTGCCACACGCGTCTGGTCCGCGCACAAAGTACTAGACGCTGGACAAAACAGCAAATGAACGGCTTGGATACCAATTGAGTGGGAGTGCTGTAGAGGCCACATAAGGGAGGAGCCATTGCAGCCTGGCTGTCTGCCCTGAAAGGAGGACCGAGTTATCCCGTCAGTTGACAGCCTTTCGAGTATCTGCTTTGAGTGCACCGTGATAGTTTAAAAGCGCGTCAGTTTTTTTATATTGAGGAATCATGCGTTGGATTCGGTGGGGACGGAGTCCCCATAGTCGAGCCCACTCCAACTCTTCCCTCCGTAGGCACCAGTTCACCGTCCGCGTCGGTCAGCTATCTAATGCGGGGTTCATCCCACAACCACCCTTAGGAAATGTGTTGATCTTGCATGGAGGCCCGCCTATCATAGAGCAGGACTGAGCTTGTGTTCACTTGCATGGGTGACAAGCAATTTGTGTTTACTTCTTCCTGAAGTGCTCTTTTATGCAATTTTTTTGTTTTTTCAGAACCAAGGTCAAAATTCTTACATTTTTGTGCTGTTCATTCCTATCACACGCAGCAAGCGAATTGCTAATTTCATGTGTAGCTTGCTTTTCCATGTCTTATAATTAACTGCTTTCCATCCTCAAA